GGGCAGCAGGTGCTCTTTAACCTCTGAGCCTTCATCCGGCCCCATGAACAGAACTATGTAAAGTCAGGCTTTGTCTGTGACCAAGAGAGCCAGCTAGGGCTTGAGAGGGAAGTGTGGGTTTGTTTCTAGTTTACTAACTATCCAGGACTTTTGTGATGTTTTATGACAATCGTCTGAAGCTCAGATTTCAAGACTGCACAGCTTTAAGAAGGCAGGCCTTGCATCATCAAACATCATCCTTGGCTAGGAAATGTCCGGCTGGAGAACCGAAAGGGTCATGTTGGAGATGAAAAACTCGGAAAAATTAAGTGTCGTACGTAGGGACTGAGCCATTTGGTTGTTTGATTTGAGATTCGGTTACTCTTTTTGTTTGTTTGTTGAGATGGGGGTCTTATGTAGCCCAAGCTGGCCTCAAACTCACTATGTACCTGATGATCTTGGAAATTCTGATCCTCCTGCCTCCTCCTCCTGAGTGCTGGGGATTAGAGGCATGCACCATCATGCCTAGTGTATGCATTGCTGGGGAAGGAACCCAGGGTCTCCTGCATGCTAGGCAAGCACTCTAGCAACTGAACTACATCCTCTACCTTTGACTTAAGTTTTAAGATAAATTAAGTAATCAGTTTTTAATAAAGTCATGTTTCTTCGTCTTTGAAAGTGGGAGGGGGGGAAGCAAGGAGAAGGGTGAAACTTTTACCTTCAGTTTTCCTGTAAATAATGTCTATCTTGTTTTTATGAGATTTTGAATTTTTTCTTTATAACCAGGTCTTGAGTTTGAAGAATTAAATATTTTTCAAAAGAAAATGACAAAAATCTGAATATTTGTAATCACAAATTGTCTGCTGGGGTTCCTGAACAAAATTACCTGGCAAAGGACACCAAGATGGTCTGGGATCGTGGTGTGATTGCGCTGGGCTCAGAGCCACAGCGGAAAGTCGGAGGTAAAGCTGCTAAGATCTGCAGCTAGAAGCGCCCCTGTGGACAGGAGCCCTGACGCTGGGCCTGGCTTCCCCGAGCCTGGGCTTCCCCTTCACTGTCTCTTTTTTGCTGTGTTCTAGGTGCTCTTCACGACATTCTGAAAATTCCCACTGTAGTGGAAGCAAACGGGGTTCCCTCTCTGCAGTCTCCCTGTTTGTCCCCTTTGACTGGTGTGTGCTGACGCTTAGCTGTCACTTCGGGCTTGTTAGTCAAATTATGGTGATTAATGCAAACAGCCAACATGAACTTTGAGCTGCTCAGATGCTCCACAACCCACGTGCTGGCAGGGTGCCATCCTTCTACATTGCCTAAGCGACTCGGACACCTTTCAACACCAAGGGAGCTCTTCCTCAAGCACAGAGCCCTGTGACTCGTAACTGACTCAGACACATTTCAAAACCCAAAGACAGCTTCCTGGTATTTGATACAAATGTGATGCTGAGGTCCTTTCAGAAGGTAACCTTAATGAGGATGTTTGAAAACACATGGCTTTAGGGGGAAGAGCTGTCTTCTCACAGCCCCTCCCTAAGCAGGGGCGTTTTCCTTCCTGGAAGTTTGGAAGCACAGTGAAGCCTCCATTGCCCCTTCTTCCTCGTGCAGGCTTTTCCTTTAAGTGGGTTTTATATTTTTATCAGTGTATATTCATTGTACACAGTGTCAAGTTTCATACACATTCTTTCAAGTATTTCACGCACTTGAGAATTCACACTATTCCCTTCTTTGAGTTCTTCTCCCAGTTCCCTCTGCCTACTCTCTTCTCTTCCCCTCCATTGGTCTACCTTCTGCTTTTATTCATACGTGTGTGTGTGTGTGTGTGTGTGTGTGTGTGTGTGTGTGTACATACAGTATGTGACGTATGTCATATATATGCTATCTCTATAAAGAATTCTATGAATCACAAATGAGTGAGAAAATACAGTATTTGTCTTTCTGTATATGATTTATTTCACTTAATTTGATGATCTCCACTTGCATATATCTTCTGCTTTATGGCTGAGTAAAATTCTGTTGTTGTTTTTTTTAAGCCAAAAATTAAAACTTCCATTTGACCCAGCTATATCACTTGGAGGTATGTACCCAAAGGCTGCATCCATGTTCATTGCAATACTTCCTCAGTAGTCAAGCAATAGAACCAGTCGAGGTGTCTGTCAACAAGTGGGAGGACTTTAAAATAGCAAAGAACCATCAGCATCCCCACGGTGTCATCCACACGTGGAGAATGTTCATGTATGTCCATCACTTTCTTAACTTGAAGCAGATATTTTGGAGATTGGTAAGATAAAGAAATGTATTTAGGACTTTGAAACTTTCTCTAGAACTTCTAGAGTGTTTATGACATCATAGAGATAACCCAAGTCTGAAATTCTCCAGAAAATGTAACATTCAACATTCTGACCTGATATAACCTTTGAGCTCTTGCCAAAAAAGATTTCCTGTAGCCCAAGAGCCAATTATGACACAAATGTTCCATCAATACAAACTGAAGTGGTTTTTGTTTTCTTAACTGGGGTATACCCTATGAAATCAGTTCCCACAATACACCACTCTATAAGTTGATAAAGTTGGTTCAGAAGGGTCAACTCATGGAAATTTTGATGCCATTGGTCTGTCTCATCCAGCTGTTTATTACTGATGTCCATCTGCCAAGATCTTAGCTTCTTATTCTGTCCCCATTATTCACAGCTTGCTCATGCTAAGTCATTCATTCAATCACGATCTGTCAGTGACACCATCATAGCAAAGCAAGACAGTAAAACACGGTGTCGGCATGTTCCAGTGGAAACATCTAGTCCATTGGTTCCCATGGCCATGTGGATTCCAGCTGCAGTTGATCTGACATTGGTTACCACGGCTGTGTGGGTTCCAGCTCAGCTGCAGATTATCTGAGAGGATGATGTAAAATGCACATTTCATTACAGTTTCTGTTTGAGTAAAATCAGGTTTTTGTGACATTTCATTTTTACTTATAGTAAAATCCACTTTTAAATATTTTTAATCATTTTGACACAGTCATATCATCATAGTCATTATCAATATATAGAAGATATTACTTAAAAATGTTCCTCTTACCACAGGTCAATGATTCCTCAAGCTCCTAGCCCTAGAAGTCTGTTTTATTTTTTTCTATCCCCTTGCCCCTTCAAGACTGTTGTATACATGGACTGATATGGAATGAAATTTTCTTTTACTTAATGTAATTACTTTGAGTATATCCATGTAATTGCATGTGTCAATGACTCATTTAAAAATTTATTTTATTTGCTTCTTATTTTGCTTTGTGTCTGCATTGGCAGGGGATTGTCACCGCATTCATGTGGAGATCAAAGGACAGCCTGCCAGAGACATTTCTCTCCTTTCATTGTGTGGACTGAACTCAGGTAGTCAGGCTTGGCAGCAGGTGCCTTTATCTGCTGAGCATCTCACCAGCCCCAACTCATTGTTTTTATTGCTGGGTAGCATTATATTATTATATGAATTATGAATTCATATTATATGAATAAGCTATAATAATTTACTTGTCCACTAATTAGTTAAAAGATGTTAACCTTGTTTTAACATTTTTATATTAGGGAATAAGTAAATAAATAGTGAAAAATATTCATCTACATGTTTTTGAGGGAAGGATGGATGACTAATAAGGCAAATATAATCCAGATGTGTAATACACACCTGTAAATGCACTCCATGTAACATGGCAGTGGTGATGCACAGCTGTGTAGATGAACAGTCTTATTATTAAATAAGAAACACAGAACCAAATACAGAGTTAAAAACCCAAGAGGTCAGAGCAGTAGTCAGAGCTGAGACTTAAAACCGCCTTCTTACCCTTCCTGCCGCTGCTGTCCTTACCCCTCAGCAAGAGACCTACTTCCTGTGTGTCTGTCTTTTTGACTTTCTGTTCTGCCTTCTCATTGGTTGTAACCCAACCACATGACCTCCTCGTCACTGCCTGTCT